GTTTATGCATAATGCCTTTCCCAGACGCTTGAAAAATTACTTTTTATCGAAACATTCAGATCATATATATTTCAAAATGCACAAAAAAAATTCTCTAACAATTGTGAAAACTTAATCTTAAATTTACAACAACTCTATATACCATTTTAAGTATATTTAAAAAAAAACAGAATTTGAAATAGGCTACTTATATCTTTATTAAAAATTTAACTAGTCTAAACTTTTGATTTTGTTTTCTACCATAGTATCGGAAATCGTAAGACAAAGAATTCTTTTATCTAAAGAAGAATCTCTTAACCGTTTTTAGTGTATTTTTTTACAGAAATTTTATTCATCTTATAATAATAATAATATATACCCACTTTACTGTTTGCAAAGTAAAAACAAAAATATATTTTAATTTTCTAAAAGAAAATCTAAACCCATCTCTGTTTTGAAAATTAAATTATCACAGTGTAAAATGATTGTGATTTGATATCTATGGGTATACTTATGTAATTGTACCTACGTTTTTTTAACGTCATTGATTTTTTTTAAATTGTTAAAAATATGTTTATTTGTAAAATGAGAATATAACATCTATTTTCCACAACTGTAATATCATTTGATTTAAAGATACAGTTATTTTTTCTTCCATCAGTACCAAATCATAATGAACAATAATCTATATTGGTTTGTGTTGCTTATGGTTGAAATGGGATGAAAGACTTTGACTTGGTATGCTCGTATGTAGTTTTTGTATTGTTGCGATTGTTTTAAATGTGTTAAATTATAGATTGTTTTTATTTCTCTCTTTTTTTAATATGGTTGACTTTGTACCGCGTGTTTTTCGAATAAACTTTATTATTAGTATTATATTGTCATCCACGTAAAAATGTTTACACCCCATTTCCTACCCCCCCCCCCCGATATATTTGTAGCTAAGAAGGTTAATTATTTATCAAATTCATTCTGAGGCGTATCTCCTACTGCCTGGGACAAGATAAAAGTATCGTATCTCTACCCCCCCCCCCACATAGTTTTAAAAAAATAATAAAATCATGCTCGGGATTGTAGCCTACGCAAAAACACATTTTTTGCACTTCATGAACTTCATGTGTTTTTTTCTTATTTGGATGAGTGATAAGTGCATTAGTGAATGCTATTTGGCTATGGGGTATCGCTGCACTGATTGACACAAGAGGAATTTTCTTATTAAAAGGTTAAGTTTTTATTACTTTATAAATTTAATAAAAGAAAGTATGTTTTTGGAATGAATACAAAGTAAAAACTTATAAAATGTTAAAAAAAGAAAGCTAACATTTTTGTGTTTCATTAATAATTTAAGAAGCAATCAATTATATGTATTTATTTTACGTTTAAGAAGGGTAAAATTCATTATCAGTTCTGTTATTAAATAAAAGAAACTTAGAGCTTTGGCCTTGGCAAAAATGGGTAATCGCGATGTGACGTTATTTGTGTATTTATTTTGATTAAATGAACATTATTTTTATTTCGCAACAACGCACTAAAGACGCACAAAAAAAAAAAAAAAAAAAAAAAAAAACCAAGAACAAAAAACATATGTTTTATGTTTTTCCGATAAATGTGATCACGATTTAATTCTTAGATAATATATTTTTCCCATAACTTTTAAATTCGCTTATTTTTTTTAAATACTTTATTAGTTGTTACTTTAAATGTATTTATAATTTATAACAATAATACTTACTTAAACTTTTACTAAAATAAAAGGAGATTCATAATTTTTTTTGCGCATTTAAATTTATTCGATTTCCGTAAAATAATAGAAAATAAGTATGCTTGTTTTTAATAATCCGAACGTATTTAAATCTCTTTGTTTCTTTGGCGCTACGGTCAGCCTAGCTCATTCTTTTATATATAATTAGTTAATATAAATTCAACTCTAAACAACCCGGCAAAACAATGTATAAATTCCTATCTACTAAAGTTACTACATTCATGCATTCAAGTAACATACTTTATTTTTAAAAAGCACTAATCAGTTCTAACTCCTGGCCCTGGGAATTTTATTGTGTGCGTTCGAATACGTTCTAACTTGTTCCGAAAATGTTATCTGGGGATGCAATTTCTATAATTTATTTTCTTCGGGGGTTCCAACTCCCTCCCTATAAATAATCAGACAGTTTTCACAGGAGGAGGGAATTTTTTGTGATATTTCCTAGAAATAATATATAGGAGCCTTACACGATTGTACTCTTTTTAATGTGTGTAGGCATATACATTAATATATGTAGCATATCTCTCTAGGTTTATTCTTCTTTCGTTTGCTGCGATTTAATTTAATATATTTTTCATTTCTGTATATTTTATTTTGAATTTTTATATGCCAATTTTATTGTTGAAAATGAAAAGATCAGCAAATGGTTCATTTCACCAGTAAAAATTGTGAGATCTATGAAAATTATTACGCCAGATATAGGCCCATTTGATATCGTTCACATTAGGCCTTTATATTTGATTATTCTTTGCCACATCCTGATTTCAGGCTGCACCGTCAAAAAATAAATTGGGACGCTCCAAAACTGAAATGAATTTAGGTATACACCAAGTGACATAATGTTAAATTTTTGCGCTGATAGATACCCGGTACCCAAATCTTCAAATTGTGTTTCTGAATGAAAGACTCAATTCAAGTATACGCCAAATGCACCTCTTGATTTTGAATTTATCAAAAATTTTCAGCGTTGGGTTTAACCTCTCCCCACTTTCGTTTGCTGCGGTCGGCTCTCTCAATTTCTGTCCTACCTCCTCCAATCTAATGGACAGCCCCAACTAAAACTTTTAAACTAAAAAAACACACACTTAGCTGGGAAAAAAAGAAAATCCTAAGGCAGTGGCTTCCAACCTCTGTTAAGCATATCCCTGTGCTCGGGGGTGCGCAAAAGCTGTATTAATAATTGTGTAAAACGGCAAAAAATATTTTTTTTACACCCCTTCCTTTAAGAGAAGCTATATTTCAACATAAGTCTAATCAAGGGGTACGGGAGAAAAAAGTTTGGGGAGCCACTGCCATAAGGAGTGCCACAAATTGAATGAATTTATTTTAAGTTAAGCGAGAGGGGATGGAATTACAGCTGGCCCCGGTCGTCATTATGCCAAAATTTAGCGCTGATAGATGCATTGTACAAAGGCGTAGCTAGGTTAGTGCAATCCTGGGAAGGCAAAGATGTTTGCGACCTACTTACACGATAGAAACTCCATAGTTAGCCGAAAACGTTGGTCTTTCATAAAAAGAAAGGGACAACAGGGGGGATTCTCCCCATATGTCCCTATCTTAATACGCCACTGGAACTGTTCCCTGCACATTTGATAATCCCCCCCACCCCACTAACAAATTGTCTGAAAGAAACAAAGCAAGTCAATGCATGCATAATTGACGAAGGTCCAAGGGGAGAGAAGGACATTTGGTTTCCACCACTCATGGGGGATAGACGCCCCTGAGCACACCTTTCAACCATGTCGGTTGAATAAAAAATCAATATCATCGAAAGTGTCGGCCAACAACATAATATTCTTAATTATATAAAACGTTTTTCCCCGTTAATTTAGTATTTAAAAATGTGTTTAGAATAAAAGTGACAACACAAGAATTTAACGCTCCAGATATTTGCCTGCTTCGAGGGCAACAAAGGCCAGCCCGTGTTCAAGTTCGGTGTAAATATTAATAGATCATAAAAAAATGAAGGACTGCGTTAAAGCCTTTTGGGAAGCTCACTACCCGGGTTATTATTATTTTTAAGACGGCTATTTTTGTTTACTAATATTAATATAATAGTTATATTAATTTATTGAAAATTAACCCCGGAGTGTATTTGAACACTTTATTTGAATAAGTCGTAATTTTTACAAACAAAACAATACAAAATACTTTTTTAAATTTAAAAAAGAAAAAAACTTTCGAAGACAAATTTAAACGTCCTTAAAAATAAAAAGAAAAAAGAAAAGAATTCCATCAAAGTCGAGTTTAAACAATCTAAAAAGTTAATATCAAATAAGTTATGTCATTATGTTTATAGGCCTACCTACTCTTGGCGTTGTCAGTATCAATGGTGAGGATCCTAAACCCTTTCTTGAAGCATTCATCACAATGGAGTCAGGGGATGTTTCTTAACGCAAGCATTGCTGAAAATGAAACATTTAGAACACCGGTTCTCAACCATTGGGTCGCAACCTCTTTGGTGGTCCCACGACCCTTTCACAGGGATCGCCTAAGACAGTGGTTCTCAACCTTCCTAGTGTCGCGACCCTTAAATACCGTTTCTCGTGTCGTGGCGACCCCCAGCCACACAATTATTTTCGTTGCTTCTTCATAGCTGTAAGGGTATGTGTTTTCAGATGGTCTTAGGCGACCCCTGGGAAAGGGTCTTTGCCGATTACAATATAGTCTACAAAATTTTCAGCCCAACCCCCAAAAATAAATTTTTCCTGTTTTTCAATGGGAAGGTGAATGAAATGTGATGCAATTAATTAGTAATAACTGTAGCCATCTAAGTCAAAGTTGCACAATAATGCAGAAAATAGTTTTAGGGTAATCACGTACATAAATGCAACCAAAAATGCACATAAAGGATTTATACGAAAAACTTTATTTTTTAGTTTTTAAAAAAAAAAAAAAAGAAACATCCGATTCAAACATTTGTATTTTCTTATTGCATTACGTAAAGTAGTACAAAGTATAGATCTAACTTTAAAGTTACATAGTCATAACTCACATTAGAGTGAGAATACACTTTCACTTCTCTGCCACCCCTGCAAAATTGCAGCCTTTTATTATAATCATAAATTGATAGTTATAAAAGTTATAAAAATAATATAAAGATTTAAATATAGAACAACATAGACAGTGAATATAAATAAAATAAAAGTGATGTTTAAAAAATAAATATTTGTTTCGTAAAATCTCACAACCCAGGAAACAAAACACGTGGAGGGACGTAAACAAAATTACAACCGGTTGTGACGTCGCAACCGATGAAAAATCAACAGCCTAGATTAGGACAGAGACACCTACGCTGCTGAGTGTGTCCTCCACGACGTTAACGGGTTGGCAGACTTCAAACCATCAATTTTAGGTCGCTGTGAGAAGCAGTATTTTCTTTTATTTTACGGAGAAACAACTGCGCAGCGACCTATCAGTTAAAATGTGTGAAAATATAGGAGTCACCGTTCCTGTTGTGATTGAGCCTGGCGACAGCCTGGTGAGCACTGTCGTGGAGGATGTCTCGCATCAGTTGGGCCCGACATCTCCTAAGGGGAACACCGACGAAGGTCCGGCACCAGGATCGGAAGCTCCAGTTGTTATTGTTGCCCCTTCTTTAAGAGTTGAAAAACTGAAAGGAAATGGAAATAGCCATGATTCCAGCTTTTGTGTCAGCGAGGAAGAGGGTGGTGGTGGACATCATGATTATTCAGACGAAGGAGATGGGGATCATTCTGGTAATAACAGCAGCGTTCCTGATATGGCTTTGGATGTTGATGCCTTGATAGATCCTCCAGATGAAGAGCTGCAACAAAAAATAATTAACCTTGTGGAATATTATTTTTCGGATGAAAGCATTTTGAAAGATGCTTTTCTTCTCAAACATGTCAGGCGGAATCGGTTCGGGTTTGTGAGTATCAAACTAATTACCTCTTTTAAGAAAATGAAAACGCTGACCAAAGACTATCGTGTTGTAGCACATAGTTTAAAAGGATCAGAGAAGCTTGAACTTAATGATGAGTGTACTAAAGTGAGAAGAAAGGATCCTTTACCAGATTATGATGAAACAGTCCCCTCAAGAACTGTAGTTGCCCTTAATCTGCCACTTGAAAATCCAACGATGGAAAACATGGCTGAGATCTTTTCAAAGTGTGGTTGTGTAAATAATTTTAGAATTTTACGACCAGGTTGTTCGATTCCTTCTGATTTACATAAATTTGCTTGCAAACATCCAGAGTTAGGCTCAACTATGTGTGCTGTTGTTGCATTTGAGAACTATGAACAAGCTAAAAAGGCTTGTGAAATTCTTACAAACAATGACGACTGGAGAAAAGGAATGCGAGTAGTTCCTCTTATGGTTCCCAAAAAAAAAGAAGACAAAGAAAAGAAAGAGAAAAAAGAAAAGAAAGAAAAAAAGAAAAATGATAAAGATGAAGACATCTCCCCAGAAGAATATTCAACTGACGATAAGAAAAGACGCCGTCGTGGCGGTCGGCGGAAAAAGACCAGAGTTGATGAACTGACTCAAGACTCGTCTTGTTACAGCAGTGGATCTGAAGGTGATTCTCCATCAAAATCTCTTTCATCTACGAACAAGTATCGAAGTGGAGATCACCTCAGTCCAAATTTGACACCTCCTAGAGGGGGACGTACTAGTCCTGCTGGGAGTCCCCATAACAAACGAAGGGGTTATGGAAAATCACCTCTGGCTGATTCCAATTCAGGTCTTAGTCCCAGAAGCAGCCCTGAAACTGTTCGTCGAGGTATTGATTCATCTGGTGGCGATAGTACTCCGTCAAGCCCGTGGGTGCAGAGGCGCCTGAGAGTCGCCCAGGAAAAGATATCTGGTGGGAGTCCACTGGGCAGCCCTCTTTTGGGAAGACGCAATCCAGATGGCACTTTTGTTCATGGATCTATACCTAGAATGCTTGACATGACAAATGTGTTACGTCAGCCTAAAGGCCCCGATGACACCAAGGGATTTTACGGAGGAATGGGCAGAGGGAAACCCAGAAGTAGTACCATTGCTTGAGTAAAAGTCAAATGCATTTAAATTATGTACGGTAATGTTTTTCCTAGACAAGGTTCTTTTCATCAAATAATCTTGAAATAAAATGTTAATCGTATTTCTTCTCCAACTTGTGCAGTGGGAAGTGTAAGTGGTTTAGAGTTCTGAAGTTTTGCTTTAGTCAAAATTGTAATTGTATGCAATCTTGGTGATTAAGTAGTAAATGTATTGGTTATGTGTGATTAAATGTAATTATCAAAATTTATTAATGAATCACAAATTTGATCATCAAATGAATTATTTTATTATTTCTGTTTGATTTCACAAGAATGTTTTAGTAAAGCTTACATTTTTAGGAGTAGTTAAAGTTTTTTTAAAGAATAAAATGAATTGATTTTAAAATGTTTCACACTTAAAGATTTTAGGAGAATCCCAAAAAGTTGAGGATTTAATATTCTTAAAGTAAAATAAAAATGTTCAAGTTCCTACACAGCTGTATATTTGTTTTGTTTTTTTACTGGTTTCACTTTTTATTCTGTTTACTTAAAAAATTGATAAGTTCAAATTATTGTATTAGTTTTCTTTAATTTTTAAATCATGTGCATAAGATAAGAATCTGTGGAATATGGGGGACCCTTAAAATGTATGTGTTTATACCGTTCAATAAATAAAAGTTTGATAAAATAAATACACTCATCAAAAGGCATTTTTTTCACCATGGTGTTACTCAGTAACTGAGTTGTATTGTGTAAGTAGGAGACTGCAACAAGCATAAGTAACTGATAATTTATCATATAATGTATAATTTTTTTCCTGTTATGAGTATTAGTTCTAGGAGATTTAAATACCACTTTGTTGGTTCTCATTTTTCTCATATTTTATAAAGAAACTTTTTGTACCGATAATGAAAGTAGATCTTAAAAATAATGTGTATTTTTTAATATTTTATTCCTAAGAATAAAGGAGTAAATTATCAGTTTTTGCTTTTAGTTACATCTATCTAAAAAGACTTTTAATGGAATCCATATATTGTAATTATAAATGTACATGTATGTATTAATTATAAAATTAAAATACAAATTCCAGGCTTCTAGTTTATACTAGTTTTTGGAAGTCCATTTCAGTTTTTGCATACTGTTCAGAAAAGAATGGTATCTGTATGTTTAAAGAAAATGTGTCTCTTTTTACACTAATATAATGTCCATGACATATTTACATGAATAGAGTTGGTAATTTTTGGTATTTCAAAACTCCAGATTTTATAAAATTATCTTTAATCTTTTATTTTGCCTGGAAAAAAGTAATTTCATGGTAAGAATACTTTTTTTGTTGTGGCTAGCACTAGCACTGGATAACATTATGCAATATCACTTTCTATAATGCCAGAGTTGAAAAAAAAAATCTGAACTAGTAGCTAAGTCTATAAATATAATTTATGGAAACCCTGTATTTTAGGTATAATTAACATGTGTAATAATGGTAGAAGTCACATATTTTGTTAAATAAAACCAGTTTTTATTTCATTCATTTTTATTCAGTTGTGCACTTAATAATAGTTTAGTACTGTAGTACACATTTGTTTAATCACATTAAATTGATTTAAAGTAATGGTTATGTTGATTATTATGCATGATTGACGTTTCAACATGTAAGTGCCTTTGCTCTCTGTTAAAAATCTGTGAGAGATTATATTTTAACTTTTATATTTGCTTCAATGATAAATATTCTTTTTGAGGGTAATTTGTTTTGCCTAATACTACTTGTTCTTTAAATCAGTTTTATTTGTTCATTTTGAATTGTAAGTTATATTTATTAGTTTTTTGTTGTTGCTTATGTAGTTATCTCAGTGAGTTGAATATTCATTGCCTATGGCTTCATTGTTGAATTTTGTTGTTGGATCACAACTAAGATTAATTTCTTCCATCTATTCAAACCTTCCTGATATTTGAATGTAAATATATTTGCTTTGATATATATTTAACAGATCAAGCCACTTTCTCACCTCTTAAAACTGGTATTATTTTTGTGAGAATTAAAATGTATATTACTTTTGGTTAATGAATATCATTTTTTTTTAAGGTTCAACAAGTACTAAATGTTCTATGTAGACTTAATGACATATTTTAAGTTTTTACTATGAATTTTAACAGTCTATAGTCACTATGTATTGAGAATTAACGTATGCAGTATAATTTTTTTCAAACAGTTTATTCTAATCGCTATTCTCTGCAAATATTACCTTTTAATGTATGTATTTTGATGCAAAATCCTAGTATTTTATTGTAAAGTTTCAGACCATTAAGGCAGTGACACAGTCAGTGACACATCCAGAATATTCAACCTTGAGCACAATGATATGGACTTTGTTGCATTTGTCCTTATAATGTGAATATTCTCTTAAATAAAACCATGGGTAAGGGTCAGTGTCACATATGTCTCCAGTACAATTTCTCTAATAATTAAAACAAACCCTCATTTTAAAATTAATTTTGAGAATGTAAATGACTTATGATTATGCTACATTTTATCATCTCATTACATCCCTGTTCATTAAAATGACTTGGAAAAAAAAAAAATTATAACACCTAGCACTTACAATCACTGCTCAACCAATTATTTTAAAGTAAAAGATACAAAACACACAAATTACACAACTCTCAGATATTGAGGGAACTTATTTGTTGCACCTCTTTTTATTTGCTCATTGCTTTTTGCTTAAAATCTCAACGGGTATTTGCATAAGAGTAAGTAGTTTGTTTGTTTTAACTGTCTAAAATCTTGAGATAACTACCAAAATATATTTCAGCTAAATTAGAGCAGAATTTGTCATTCAACTGGTAATTTTAAAAACAAAATTGTTGCTAATGTAAATTTTTACTGTGGGAAAAAGGTGTTGATTTTTTATTTTATTGCTTGTAGAATGTCTAGGTGTTAACCATGTTTAAACTTTTGAAAAGAGTTCCTGACTTTAAAAAAATTTTTACATCTTTACATTATGAACATTATGATGTATCGTAGTGAATTCAGGAAGATTTTTCAATTGATGATTATTTTCATTTCTTAAAATGAATCTACCCAAAACTCCACTATAGAAACTTGAGAATAGGATTCTTTTTCAGTCTCTGCTGACAGAAAAATCACAATATATATTATATTAAAATTTTGATGCTCATGTAATATTTAATTTTTATTTGAACAGTATTGAATTTGAGCATAGACAAAAAGTAAGATAATATACTAAATTTTGGTCAAATGTTTACATTTTTTAAACACTTAAGTGAGATTTGTTAATTGACTTGAAAAGTTTGCTCATTTTGTTCTGATTTCCTTGTACATAGCTTCACTCACAATGAATAATGAATGACTCCATGGAACTAAAGATGGATATTGTACTTTTTTTTTTCCCCCTTTAAATTTGTTTAAGGTGATACGACTTGTGCCCATTCCAATTGTTCAAAACCTCTTATGTTATGCATATATGTTTGTGAAAGAAAGAATATTGGAATTTTATTTAATTTTTGATATGCCTATTTTCATAATTTAATTTAGCAAAAAAAGTAGACACTGTTTCAAAGTAAGTCTATAGTCCAGTTTATCCTTAATGCCAGATCATTCCTCTTCATCTGACGGATAGAAATATTTTGCTTCAGTTTCCAATTACTGGGAGTATCCAAACTTTTGTTTCTTAAAATTAAATTCTGACTGGTAGTTGTAAAATAAGTATTCTAGTAAAAGTTGTTTTTTAAAAATAGTATACAAAAGCGTAAAATTTCCTAGTCAGGAAAATAAATATTACATCATATTATGTACACATATCATATAATTTTTTTTAAAATTTAGTGTCAGGCTAAATATACTTAAAAGTTTTGCTTCACTTTTGATTAGTTTTTATGACTTAACATATTGTTGTTAATTAATCAATAATTTTCAGTAGAGAATTTCTTTACACTACGGAATAATAAAATACAATCTCCTTTTACTAACATAAAAATTTAAGATGTCTCAGCCTACGAAAGTAATTTCATTTTGTAATTCAGAAAATATGTTGAATACTTGCTAATATAATAATTTAAATGTTTTCTGTTTGTTTTTCTCAAGATGATGTCCAGCATTTTTTTAACGATATTTAAGGGATGTGGATGTCATTAGCATTATTTGTATAAATTGTTTAACTACTAATACTAATATTAAATAATTGTCTTTGCAAATTTAAATTTCAAAGATATAATTTCACTAGTCTATTTATATAAATAAGAGAACTTGTGGCATTGTTAAATGTATTATTATTTAATGTTGATTAGAATTGTTTACAAAAGAAAGACATTCATTTCGATAATATGTAACATAATTTCTATGTTTATTCTTATTTTTAAATGATAGATGATAGATCAGTCACCAATCAGCTACTACATACACAAAATGCTTCTAAAAAAGTAGTTGAAAATAATCTTAATATTCTTAATAAAAGTTTTTTATTTTAGAGCGAAGTAATCAAAACAAATACAGCACTGCCAATCTATTTTAATATTCTGTTTTTGTTAAGTTTACAGAAATTGTAAATATTTTTTAATTTGATATGTGTTCCTCGAACTTGAATTTATTCATCACATTAAATGTGCTTAGTTTAAGAACTTAAGCTACAAAGTTGAGAATTATACCATTGCATAAGTAAATTTTTGTGTCTTGAAATTATTTAACTGCACATTTCAATATTTAAGAAAGCAGATACCCAGTACATTAAAGAAAAATGTACAAGTACTTAAAATCTTTCCACCATGGTGGAAAATATGAATTTTCCTTTTAAGCTTTCCGCTAAAAAAGATTAATTAATTAGACACGAACAATTTGTGTCAATATAACAATATATGTTTAGCTTTAATAATAATTTCACATAACACACAAGTAAACGTTTGGGAACATGCCTTCATCAGTATAACAGCAAACCATTTAAATAAGTATAAATTAAATTTACAATATATATATATATGTTATTTAAATAAAACCTGCTAATTTGGGGGGGGGGGGGGGGGGATCTTCCCCCCCCCCCCCCCCCCCCCCCCCCCCCCCCCCCCCTTCTGCCCTACCCAAATAATGTCCCTGATGTAAGGCTGGGTATTTTTTTGTTCTAATACTTCCCAAGTAGTTTGAAAATATTTCTGATATATATACATCAAATTGGGAGGTTTATCAGATTGAGAATGGTGTATGAGATAAATAATACAGTAATTCTCTGTGCATTCC